TTAAATGAGTCATTGAATATGAAAATTGTCCTGTGGTGACTACAGAAAGAGCTAATTAAAAACCAATAGGGAACCAAGTGATAGTCACTTTCATAGAAAGACAAAAAGATACTCTTTAAGTAGAGTTTGATTTTGTAAAATTTGCTAAGAATTTATGCTTCCTTTTTATCATTTGCTAGTATAAATGTGTAACATCTAACACAGCTAAACAAACCAGGTTATAACAACTACAACTCTAACGAAGCAAGTGAAAGATCTATAAAAAAAATAAAATAAAATAAAAAACCTCAGGTTTTTGAGAAAAGAAGTTGAAGAAATCAGAAGATGTAAAGATCTCCCATGCTCATGGATTGGTAGGTTTAACAGATGATGACCAATAGCCGTTTTATCAAAAGTAATCAACAGATTCAATGGAATGCTCTGCAAAATACCATCACACTTCTTTACAGACCTTGAAAAAAGCAATTTTCAATTTCCTATTGAAAAACAAAAATAAAAAAACCCAGAATAGCTAAAACAACCCTGTACAATAAAAGATATTCTGGAGGTATCTCCATCCCTGATCTCAAGCTATACCACAGAGCAAGAGTAATAGAAATGGCAAAGAAGGAGACTGGTAGATCAATGGAATCAAATCAAAGACCCAGAACTAAACCCGCACACCTATGGATACTTGATTTTTGTTAAGTAAGCCAAAACCATACAATGGAAAAAATATATAGCATCTTCAACAAATGGTGCTGGTCTAACTGTATATCTACAAGTAGAAAAATGCAAATAGACCCATATTTTTCACCCCGCACAAAACTAAAGTCCAAGTGGATCAATGACCTCAACATAAAATCAGACACATTAAATCTGTTAAAAGAAAAAGTGAGGAAGAGTCTTGCCTCATTGACAAGAGGAGACAACTTCATGAAGAGAACACCAACAGCACAGGCTCTAAGATCAAAAATTAATAAACAGGACCTCATGAAACTGTAAAGCAAAGAACACTGTCAACAGAACAAAATGATAGCCCACAGACTGGGAAAAGGTCTTCACCACCCCTATATCTGATAGGCTACTAATATCCAGGATATATAAAGAACTCAAGAAGTTAAACACCAACAAACCAAGTAATCCAATAAAAAAATGGGGTACAGAGCTAAACTAAGAATTCTTAACAGAGGAATATTGAATGATAGAGAAACACTTAAAGAAATGATCAATTTCCTTAATCATCAGGGAGATGCAAATCAAAATGACCCTGAGATCCCACCTCAGGCTGGTGAGAATGGCTAAGATTAAAAACTCCCATGATAGCTCAGTATTCAAGTGGGTTCCCTAGTAAGGGGGACAGGAATTGTTTCTGAACTCATGAAACTCAGCATCCCACCCACCTGAGGGAGGAGCAACCTTGCTAGGCCACAGATAAGGACATTGCAACCATCCTGAAGATACCTGATAAGCTAGGGCCGGACTGAAGGAGAGGAGGACACCCCCTTTCAGTGAACTCGGAAGGGGGCAGGGAGGAGATGAGGGAGGCAGGGGAGGATTGGGAGGGAAAGAGGGAGAGGGCTACGGCTGGGATACAAGTGAATGTATAAAATTATTTAAAAATTAAAAAATATATATTAAAAAAAAAACCCTTAAGTGATCAAGTGAGAACATAGGCTGCAGAGGTTGTGAAGAAAGGGGGAACCCTCCTCCATGGTCAGTGGAAATGTAAACTTGTACAAACATTTTGGAAATCAATCTGGGGTGCTTTCTCTACCTCAAGATCTAGCTATACCACTCTTGAGCATTTATCCGAAAGATCTTCAACCATACAAGGACATTTGCTCAGCTATGTTCATTGCAGCTTTATTTATAATAGCCAGAATCTTGAAACAACTTAGATGTCCCTCAACGGAGGAATGGATAAAGAAACTGTGGTACATTTACCCAATGGAATGCTTAGCAATTAAAAATAAAGAAAACATGAAATTTGCACGCAAATAGATGGAACTAGAAAAAAAATCATCCTGAGTGAGGTAACCCAGAAGTAGAAAGACACACATGGTATATACTCACTTACAAGTGGATATTAAACATATAATATAGGATAAACATAATAAAATATATAGTCCTAAAGAAGCTAAATAAGGAGGACCCTAGGGAAGATACTAAATCATCATTCAGAAAGGCAAACAGATAGACATCTGAAGTGGGAGGAGCCTATCACAGATGGCCTCTGAAAGACTCTACTCAGCAGGTTATGGAAGCAGATTCTGAGACTTCATAGCCAAACTTTGGGCAGAGAGCAGGGAATCTTATGGAACAAAAAGAGGGCTATAGAAAGACATGGAGGAGATAAGAGTTCCACAAGGAGGCCAACAGAGCCAAAAATATCTTGGCTCAGAGGGGCCTGCAGATACTGCTGAATCAACCAAGGACAATGCATGGAGAGGACCTAGACCCCCTCCTCAGATGTAGCCCATGGGCAGCTCAGTCTCCATGTGGGTAACCTAGTAAGTGGAGCAGGGGCAGTCACTGCCATGAACTTTGATGCCTGCTCTTTGATCACCTCACACTGGTGAGGTGGCTTTACTAGACCACAGAAAAAAGAGGATCCTGATAGTTCTGATGAAATGTGATAGGCTAGGGTCAGACAGTAGGGAAGGAGGACCTCCCCTATCAGTGGACTAGAATGGGATATGGTCGGAAATGGGAAGGAGGGTAGGACAGGGAGGCGATGTGGGAAGGTGCTACAGCAGGGATACAAAATTAATAAATTGTAAGTAATAATAATAATAAATGAACAGGGAGAAGTTGAGGGAGGAGGGTGGGTTTGGGAGGGAATGAGAAAGGAGGGCTACAGCTGGGATATAAAGTAAATAAACTAATTAATATAAAATTTTAATTAAAAATAAATGAATAAAAAACCAAAATAATATTAATAATAATAAATGAAAAAGGCTGAGTTATATAAATAAACAAGCCACCACAACAATATAAAACAACAACCAAAAAGCTCTACATTGTTCACCCTTGAATAATATTAGATAATGTTATTTTAAAAAGTCAGAAGCAAATAAAACTAGTCCAGCTATTATTTAACTTTTATTAAAATTATACCCAGATGTAATCAAAGAATGCATCAGAGCAAGTTTCCTTTTAGGTGTTAAGTGAACTAATAAATATAAAAAGAAAGAATAAAATATTACAGTTTTGGAGCCCTGAATAAGTAAGACTTCTGGATAAGACTGATGTCATAGAAAGCTAAATATTTGTTAAAAAAAAATAATAAGTAAAAACTGTTTCTTCCTCTGACGTCCATCCTCTTTGTCTTTCTCAATAGGGATTGAGCATTTTAGCCAGAATCCTCCTTACTGATTAGTTTCTTTAGGTGTGCAGATTTTATTATGTTTATCCTATGTTATATATCTAATATCAGAAGAGGAAGAAAATAGGGAACAAGACAGGAGCTTATCACAGAGGGCCTCTGAAAGGCTCTACCCTGCAGGGTATCAAAGCAGATGCTAAGACTCATAGCCAAAATTTGGGCATAGTGCAGAGAGTCTTATGAAAGAAAGGGGAGATAGAAAGACCTGGAGACCACAGGAGCGCCACAAGGAGAGCAACAGAACCAAAAAGTCTGGGCACAGGGGTCTTTTCTGAGACTGATACTCCAACCAAGGACCATTCATGGAGATAACCTAGAACACCTGCACAGATGTAGCCCATGGCAGTTCAGTGTCTAAGTGGGTTCCATAGTAATGGGAACAGGGACTGTTTCTGACAGGAACTGATTGGCCTGCTCTTTGATCACCTCCCCCTGAAGGGGGAGCAGCCTTACCAGGCCACAGAGGAAGACAATGCAGCCACTCCTGTTGAGATAGCCTAGGATCAGAAGGAAGGAGAGCAAGACCTCCCCTTGGGGAGGGGCATGGGTGGAGAAAGAGAAGGAAGGGTGGGATTGGAAGGGGATGAGGAAGGGAGCTACAGGGGGATACAAAGTGAATAAATTGTAATTAATAAAAATAAAAAATAAACTCAAAAAGACAAAAAAGAAATAAATGAAGTGAAACTTAAAAAAAATTGTTTTTTCCATAATGAAAGGACTTCAATGGTTAATGAGCTTCTGTTGAGTGTTTATAATGTAGATTATTATATTCCATTAGCGCAGATTGCCTTTGCTCCCAATAAGATGTTTCAGTTGTCTATTGAACCAAGACATGAAATAAGTACCTGAATAGACAATATGTATTTTTCTTCTTCAAGGATTCTAATGAGATGTCTGTATCATATCTGTTCTACATAGAAGTGTTTCTATTTCCATTTCATGATTTGAATAACATATGTAGAATCACCATTAAATAAGATATCACAAAACATTTCTGCATATCTAAAACTTAGCAGTCTTTGTATTTCTTATTAAATATTTCTTAAAATGAAAAACTAAAAATAGAAGATTATTTTCTGTGTATATATTTTTATTCATGATATTTCTGTTAGTCAGGATCTGTTGTAATATGCTATGTATCATATTTAATGTATAATACCCTAAATATTACTATTACCTATGGATATCATGGGACTCCTTGCACATAATGGATTCCAGTCCACTTCCAGAGTTGCACATGAAAATGTTATCAGTGAGCTGAAGAATCTGGCATTAATAACTTTGCAACATTATAACAAATAGGTAGTCCTGATGTTTAGTTCCATGTTTTAATACATCAAGTATATTTCACTGCTTACATTATAGTAGCGGATTGAAAACATCTGCTCACTTGCACTATTCCACAAGCAGCAGAAAATTTCAGCTCATTTTCCAGAGGCTTTCATGCATCAGGGCTGCAATCCAGCTGCTGTAGCAGTGCAGGAGACCAGATTAATACTCAAGAGCCTCGGAAATGGAAAAAGGCCTTCTTGCCAAAGAGTAGGGCAATGGTAGACTCCCTGTACTTGTTCCCTTCTCTCCCTGTTCTTACTCCCCAACCCACTCACTCTATCTCCTCCTTATCTATTTACAGCTCCATCACCTGTTGTGACAATTAAGAAAGATCGGACCTCCAGAAACAGTATCTCTTTATCTTGGCAAGAACCTGAACATCCAAATGGAATTATACTGGATTATGAGGTCAAATACTATGAAAAGGTGGGGAAAGGATATTGCAGAGTTGGGTTGGGCAGGGAAAAAAAAACAACAAAAACAAACAAACAAACAAACAAACAAAAAACCTTATTACCTCATGAAACACAATCTTGTAAATAACCTGCTTGCTTATGAGTGGTAGAGCCCTGTTTATAACCTGGTCATGTGACCTCTCTGATCTTTTGGTAGAAGAAACTCAGAAATCATTTTATCAATTACTCTCTATTCTACAACAAATAGTAACATCAGAGATGTAACTTCCAAAGCCAGTTAGTAATGACAACAGTCAGGGCATTTAAGTTGTTTTCATCAAAATCTTTGTTATGCTAACATTTGTTTAGTGGTCCATCATCCAGCTGAAGCACATCAATTTTTAAAAATATTACATAATATAGGATAAAAATTTAGACATTTAAAATTGTATATATATATATATGTATGTATACATACCATATATGTATACATACATATATAATGAACTTACATTAGCAGGAAGACAAAAATTTAAAAATTGTTCCCAAATAAATATTTTGAATGTTTTACTAAAACTTTTTCAACAAGATCTATGTTCTTTCATGCTAATTTTGCTAATGGGAATAAACAGGGCCTGGTTCAGAGTAAATTAATGCTGTAAAAATAAATCTGCTCTGTTCATTAATGTAGCAGCTCAAATGTCATCTAATCAGTATCATCAGTTAGTGATTATCTGTAATTAGGGACTAGGGAGATGGCTTATTTGGTAAACAATTTGCTGTGTAAGCCTAAGGACCAGAGTTCAGATCCCTAATCACCCAGGTATAGGATGTCTTATAGATAAGGTGGTAAGCAACCGGGGAGACAATAAATGCCCAACTTTAGCCTCTGCGTGTACATGAGCATGTGTACACTCATAGGAACAGAAAGTAGGAAGAAGCATCTACGTGAACAAATGCTAGAAGAAGAATAAAAGTCTGTATATATTCATTTTTTAAGCAGCATTTGATGGGAAGAATATTAATATGGCATGCAAACCTCCTGGAGGAAACTGTGCTTGAGAAATATTTCTAGACCTTGGTGTGGAGATACTTCACATATTCACTTCTGATCAATAATAGTGAGCCACATTAAATGTAATGTAGATATAGGTATATTGAGATAAAAATATATGCTATTAAGTATATTAATTTTTAAAATTATTAATACTAATATAAATATTTCCTATTAGATATTTATGGGATATTTCTCTTCAGTTTAACTCAGAAGAGGTTTTTGTTTTTGTTTTTGTATTTTATAAGTTTAATCTTGGAATTACTTTGAAAGTTTTTCTTAGCTTTGATTTTGCAAAGAAGGTATTTTCATAAGGATATTAGGCTATGTGAAAGGATACAACCTAATTTTTTTTCCTGCTTTCTGTGCAGAAGAAAAAAATCATTCCATATAAATTAGATAGTTTGATAATTTGTACCTAAACAATGAAATAATTAATGTGATTCGCACCTTTACTTTAAGATAAAATCTTGAAAAATCTACCATGATAGTATTATGGAGGTTTGATGTTAACATGATTTTTTTTCCTTACCCCAAAGCAGGAACAAGAGACGAGTTATACCATTTTGAGGGCACGAGGCACAAACGTTACTATCAGTAGCCTCAAGCCAGATACTACTTATGTATTCCAAATCCGAGCCCGGACAGCAGCGGGATATGGAACCAACAGCCGCAAGTTTGAGTTTGAAACTAGTCCGGACTGTATGTATCACTTCAGTTTACTATAAAAAGTGGGGTGTTGCAAAAATTACAAAGGGGTTGCTTATTTGTCCTCAACATTAAACAACGTTCCTGCACTTGAAGTGTATTGAGAGGATTTTAGCAGATAGCCTGTTCTTGTGTGTGTGGCCTCGTGCTGGTGCTGATGTGCATCTGTGGCCTCTTTCCTTTTACAAATTTATTTTATTCTAATTTATGAAATGCTTTGTATTTTCATTAACCAGAAACTGTTTCTGAGGAGCAATATTTAATGTGATTGAATGCTGCTAGTGCCTGCCAGTCCAGATATTCTAAGTTCATTGCAAAATCTAATAAACTCCGTAAAAGAAGCTTAGTGATCCATGAGGTTCTTAATTTCATTCTAATTCTTAATGCATCCAGTACAGAATTTTGCTTAATTAACAACTAACGACTTTAACATTAGCTTTGTTTTAATCCTTAATACACCCAATACATATGAACTAGGATATAGGAGTTTAAAATTTTAAGTATGTGCATATAGTTTCATGTCTATGTATAAGCAATTTGAATAGTCTGTCCATTTCACTCAAAGGTGGGTAAAATTTCTCTAAAATGGGCAAACAATTTTTTAGGAACTTTACTTTTCTTGAAACACATATGTTTCTTATTTTAAAAATCCTCTGGTATAACAGGATTTTTTTAAAGGATAGTGAGCATTACTATGGTGATAATATAAAATGAATGTAAGTGAAATTTATTTGACAGAGTGACAAAGGACACTGCAATTAATTGAGAGTAAAATTTGAACATGTGTATACTTGAGTTTATGTGTGTGTGTGTGTATGTGTGAGTGCATGTAGACAATGAGGCATCCTTAAACAAAATTGTTCATAAGACAAAAGTTGTTAGTGTATTGTGTGGGTGTGATGCTGCTAAACAGTGACATTTAATGATGTGAACTATTTTTCCAATGGATGAATAGTTGTAGTTGTGGTGAATAGGTGTTGTTTTAATTACAATAGAAAAAAACACACATGCCACAAACAGCTTCACACAGCCAAAGCCAAAGTTAGGAAAACAGCCCACAGAGATGATCCACAGTCCACACCAGTTAGGCCATGATTATCCTCGAAAGAGACCCAAGCCCCAGCACTCTACTGAAAAGAAACCTTGTAATCTGTTCTGACCATTTTAATTTTCCATTTTCTTTGGTACTTGCATTTTCTATTTTCTAAATATTTTTGTCCAACTGTGAAATCACATTATTACTGGTATGGTGATATATTTATGCCTAGGAAGAATGCACAGGACTAATAAAAATGATAAAAATGTTGAAGTCAAAATGATAAAATAAATACTTTATAAGAAACTCTTTGCCAAGTGGCAATGCTGTTTAGCATGATGAACTCCAGCTTTGTCAGGTGCTGGGCTTTTCTGCCCTTAGATGCCATTGGTTCACAGGGTATCCATTGCCAGTTCTGCTTAAGGAGAGCCATCATCCAGAAAAACCCAAAACTACCTTTAAGAAACTCCCCTTACCCCCTTGTGAGAAAATAGACATGAAGAATGTCCTTTCTAAAAACATGAAGAACATGATGTAAAATGCCATGGAATCCATGTGAGCAAAGCTTAAAATGAATTGAAAATCCTAGATGACAACAAAGAAAATAAATGCAAAACGACTTCAGCAGTTCTAAATCTTTTGTGCATTCATGCATGTGGTCCAGTACAAGCCATATTTCAAAGTATTAAAATTTCTTCTCTTGGAAATGATTGCAAATTATTATTTTAAACTTATAAATGTATATGAGAACAAAATAGCAATTGATATAAACAAAATGAGTAAGAAGGTCAGAGTAGCACCACAGAAGAACCTCCCTCTGTTATGGCTGATACTAGAAAGTGAGTCCAATGATGTAATACAACGATGCTTTATTGTTTTGAGTTTTTATACCTACCCCAGGAAGAAAAACCTTTTTTTTTTTTTTTTTTTTTTAGATGAGAGCTACACAAAATCTGAAAGTTGAGTAGATTTGGCATTAGAGTCATTTCTACTTGATTCCTTTCTGAATTAATTAACCATTAATTAATGATGGTTCTCCATATGAAGATGGGAAATAGAGTTTGTTGGTGATGTGAGGCACACAAATCAGTATTTCATGATTTTTCTGTTTTTCAAATTGCTTTTGAGGCTGATACAATAATAATTGTATATTCTTAACAAGCACAATATAATGTTTATATGAAAATTAATCTTCTAACTGCATGATTCTGACATTTATTAGCTGCCTTGTGTGTGAGAGAACATGAAACATTTGTTCTTGCCTGGCTTACTCCGCTTAGTACAATGCCCTTCAGCTTCATCTATATGGCTGGAAATTGAAATTATCCTTGCCAATAAATAGAAACGTGAGATTCAAAAGAAGATTCTTCCCCAAGCGCACCTTGCTACTTATTAGAAACTCTACCTGTGTTCACCCAGTAAATTCTGATTTACCCAGTGTGTCTCATGGAGTGCGGCTTGATAAAACAGGTCACCATATTTCACATATAGGTATTCAAGTAATGTTGAGAATAATTTGTTATTAGACCACAATTTCATTAATGAGAAATTTCACAAAAATCAGGAGAAGTGTGTCTTTTTGTTTTAAATGAGTGAATTCTTTCAGTATTAGATTAAACTACATCTCAGTTATAAATCAGTGTGTGGGATGAATTTATAATCATTGCCATGTAACTGTCAGTCATGCTGATAATGTTTGTGCTCTTATTTCTTTTGCAGCTTTCTCCATCTCTGGTGAGAATAGCCACGTGGTGATGATTGCTATTTCAGCAGCAGTGGCCATCATTGTCCTCACTGTTGTCATTTATGTTTTGATTGGGAGGTGAGTTTAGTTAGCTGAACTATTGACCTTAGCTGTGGATTCCCCATTGTCATGAGTTGTTTTGTCACTTCACTGATTAGAATATTTATGTTATAGATTCCTTTCTTATTTTCTTTCATCTTTTCTTTCACTTTATTTCTCCATTAATATTTTCTTTAATTTTTGAGATTACAATATGCTTACAACATTTTATCCTTCTCTTTTTCTCCCTCTAAAACCTCCCCTCATTTTTCTCTGTCAAATTAATGTCCAGTTTTTCATTGTTATTGCATGCATATGTATATATACATATATATACCTATGTATTCCAAAATATAACATGTTTAGTCTACACAATGTTACTTATGTTCATGTTTCCATGGCTAACAGTTTGTTGTTAGATAACCAGTTCATGTGCTCTTTCTTTTGGAAGACGATTTCTCCAGATCCCAGCCTCCTTTGGTTGCCTGTCATTTATTCTGTAGTGTTGACGCCTCCTGAGCTTTGCACTGTCCGCTTTAGCATGTCTATCATTGTTGTCCTTGCCTAGCTCATGTTTAGGAAGCCATGATGGTGAGATTTTATGGGTGTAGCTTCTGACATTACTGGAAAACACAGTTTCACAACAAACTCCCTGGTCTCCATTAATTCTTAGCCTCCCCCTCTAACTCAAACCATTTCTCTTTTGACCCCACTCCTAGTTTCCACCTTCTTTTTCCAATTATCCCCTCATTCTTCAAATAACCCCAGATTTCCTTGACACTTTCTCACCCCAGACACTGGTAACTGGGCACAGCACTCATTACCAATGAAGACTTTATCCTTTATTCATTCCAACAGTAGTTGTTAAAAATACTATAAACACATTCTAAGGCCATTATAAAAACTGAACTGGAGGTGTCTGCTCAGCGGGGAGGCAGTGCTACATGTCTCCTCATTAGGCAGCCTTCCAGGGTCCCCAGAAAAAGTGTAGTGTAATGCCAGTAAGCTTTCACTAAAGCATTTGATTGTTGCAGGGGAAAGGTTTATTTGGGGAGCTTTACATGTCCTGAGCATAGATAGTGCATTCATGTTTTCTTGCTTTGCCTCTAGGTTCTGTGGCTATCACAAGTCAAAGAACAGTTCTGATGAGAAGCGCCTTCACTTTGGGAATGGGCACTGTGAGTTTCTAAACATTGTCTTAACATTGCAGTCTTAGCACTTGCTGGATTTGAGTGCATAGCTTCTCATCAACAAAAGGGATTCTAAAGTGATCTTACAAGGGAACAATGAGCGAATTAAATTTATTTTCAAAAGTGGAAGCGATCCATGCATTAAGCATTTTTTTCATGACTGTGTTTCGGCATATTTAAAGGAAAGTGTAACCTGTGTTTTTACATTCAGAGAATGTGATGCGTCTTGAGAACTGTAGTCAGCCCTGAGTGGCTAAAATGCAAAGCATGTCCTCAACTTCCTCACTACTACTCTTCTGCTGAAATCTAAATAGGAGCATTTCCCCTCTCTTGACTGCCAAGAAAATATAAACAGCCACTACTCATGTGAAAGGCCTTACTCCATTCAGTCCACCAACCAGGAAAGAGCTTTTAGAATTAACACTTTAATTTAAAGTGACATATCATCTAACTGGTAGAACAGACAGTATTTCCCTTCCCACATCTATACCAATCAATATTACTTCTATTAATAGTTTTTTAAAGAAATACACTTTTCTAAAACAAAACTTTTGCATCTAACAAAAAGATGTTCATTTTTATTCCCTCTGGTAAATATAAATCATTCCATATGTCTGCTTTTCCAAACTCTAGCTTCATTCAGGGTAGCAGGTAAAAACCAATGGCCTTCAGAGGATAGCAAGATCTAGAAGTTAGCAAAAAGACAAGTCCAATGCTCGCTCACTCCGAAATATCATTCAAGGACTAATAATGCAATCCTGCAAGCAATAATTACTTCAGCATTTGTTCTTGCCCTTTAAAATTGTCTTTAGATGGAGTGGATGCTTCCGATCAACTACTATCTCTGCAACTAAAAAAATTATCATTTAGGTTAAAACTCACGTAAATACTTTCTTTCCTAGTTCACATGTAGAAAGCAAACAATAGGTTGAGAAAAGGGAGAAAAAAATACTTATGAAAACGTAAGCTGATGTACGGAAGCATTACAAGAGTTTGCAGAACTGGTTGCTTTGTCTTCCTCTGTGGCCTGTCAAGGCTGCATCCCCCAGGGGGAGGTGATCAGAGAGCCTGTCACTGAGTTCATGCCAGAGAAAGCCCCTGCTCCCCTTATTAGGGCATCCATTTGAAGACTAAGTCTATGGGCTACATCTGAGCAGGGCTTTAAGTCTTCCCCATGCATTGTCCTTGGTTGGGGTATCAGAGGGGTGTAGAGGGAGTAGAGGGAGGGAGGGTGGGATTGGGAGGAGACGATAGAGGAGGACACAGTGGGATACAATAGAATAAATTGTAATAAATTATAATAATAAAAAATTAAGAAAAAAACGAGTTTGCAGAATCAGCAGGTTTTATTCATTGCATTGTAGAGTTGTAATAGTATAATTTATTTAATGATAAAACACTGAAGTTTTACCTTAATTCAATGCCACAACTATGCAGGTTACTCCAACCTGAGTAAGTTAGTTTACCAAATAAACTCAGGGAATTATCAAATTATAGAAGAGTAGGCTTCTAGTTTTTTCATAGTCTGACTGAATGAGGCAATTCTATTTTTGTACACTGACTCCATCTTAGAGGCAGATGTTTGATATGAACACTTTCTCCACTGGACCATGCTGTCTTAGCTGTTTTATAAGAATCATAGGCCTTATGAATATGGACTTTGATAAATGTCTCTACCAATTCTATGCAGGCTCTAACATTTTGCTCTTGTTTTTTTTTAAACCAAGTTTCTTTTTTCTTTTTTTTTTTTTTTCATTCTACCAGGTCCTCACAATAAACAAATTTTTAAAAAGAAATGCATATTATCTTTTGTTTTAAAACTATAAGGCAAGTTGCACGCATATCATAGACTTTCTGCCTCTCAATACTACAGCTGGTTTATTTCAGACCATTTATTTAGTATTACATTAAAAAGCTCTAGCTATGAACTATTCCCCCAAGCCTTGTTACAAGTCCTATAATGTTGCTTCAAAAGAAAAGAAATATGTTTTGGCTCTTAAGATCCTGTCTCCTTACCCTCTCTGCTTGGACTTTTTTTCTCTTTTCCTTTCTTTCTTTCTTTCTTTCTTTCTTTCTTTCTTTCTTTCTTTCTTTCTTTCTTTCTTTCTTTCTTTTTTTTTCTGTCTTTAGAGCAATTCATGCTGGTAAAATGGAAATGTAAATTATTGTGTTTGCACAGAATGAGCTGTAAAGTAGCACAGCTTTACACGTGTGCACGTGTTTATTATCTGATTTTCAGGGCAGAGCCCAGTTACTCTGTATGGTGCCCTTAATTATTGGTGTGAAGGGATTACTTGTCTTGCAGCCCAAACCTCCTGGTTCCCAGAACGTCAGGGGTGAACACTTAAAAATCAACAGCCAAAGCCCTAGTGAACAGACCATTTTACTCATGGGGATGTGTTTATGTTTATAATTTTTAACAAATGTCATGTGGATGGAAAATCAATTTACTTTATGCTAACTAATAGAAATGAATGTGATTGATTTTGAGGGGATATTAATTCTTCAAGCTTCATGTTATTTAGCAATCCATATTTTTCTCTAAGTTGACATTAAAACTCAATGGAGGACTTTTAAAAATGGCAGTATTTCTTTTTTTAAATTTCAAACATTTTATTTCACCAATTATTTTACATTTTTATAAATTCTAATGCCAAAAACTCTCCCTAAAATGAGCTTCATTCCTCAAACTTAGGAAAGCAAAATATGTGCACATATTCCACAAAAATCATTCAACTTCACATTATGTTCAAAATGTTCTTCTTCCTTAAAGAGGAATACTAGCTGCCTTTGCTATTCAAAAGTAGCGGCAAATCAAAATATACCAGAGAATGAGTAACTTGAAGTGAATATTTGCATGTAACCAAACTGACTAAAACTAAACGATTCTAACACATATTTACTAACTAATATGTTTTGGTAACTCAATGTTTCCCAAATCAAAAATTTTTGACAGCATTCCTTAGGCACAGTGTCCTAATGCTCATTCTCTCGATTGTTGAGTTAGTTTCTTACTAAGAACAAGAAGTCTTTGTGTTATAGGATGAGTCCACCATCCGTTTTTACAGAAAAAGAATAAAAGTTTCATGAAATAAATCAGTCTTAAGGAAAAAAAAAAAAAAAAAAAAAAAAAAACACATACACAATGAAACACTGGACTCACTGGCTGACAGTCCACTGTGCTAAAGGCTTACCTTGAGAAACAACTCAAATGATTATTGGCCTATGCACTGTTTGGTTATCCTTTTGGAAATGAGATTCTTAAATTATAAACTAATTTTTGGAAATTACTGTTTTTCTTTTCTTTTCCATAAAAGAAAGATGTTCTTCAACATTTTAATTGTAACTAAACAAACAAAAAAAATCTTTTAAGTATACATGGTTTATAAAACCTATGTGTCCATGTTACCAAAATTAAAATAATCTATCATGTCAACAAATGTAATGTGGGAATCAATTTTCAATCCTTGATGTTATTCATGTGTATTCATAAATTCACCTTAGGTTATTATTTGAAATATTTTCTTTTTAAAGAAACATTGAACATTCCAAAATATCTGTAATGTGATCTCATCTTTTTTTCAAATGAAATAAATTTCATGAAGCTAAATGTTATATAAAAGATTTATCTCTGGATTCCCTGATATTTTATTTATAGAAAGCTATGAATTTTTCAAAATAAAAAAATGAAGTCTGCATTTCAATGTTCCCTTTCACCTCATTAGCAAAAAAATATATATTTTATTGTGCTTCCTCTTTGTGTTATATTGTGGACATTTTTTAATTTTTCACACTTAGTACAATTTCTCTATCAGAATTTTTAACATTACAGACTAGATTAAAGATTGATACAAATTATTGTGAATCAGATTTTTTTCAGTTATTAATGTCAGAAAATTTGCCAAGTAAAATCATGCTTTTCTTTTTTTTTTTTGATAGTAAAACTTCCAGGTCTTAGGACATATGTTGATCCACATACATATGAGGACCCTACTCAAGCAGTGCACGAGTTTGCAAAGGAGTTGGATGCTACCAACATATCCATCGACAAAGTTGTTGGAGCAGGTAAGTAACATGTCGATAATTAACAGTAAGAATTCTACATAAGGAACATGAGCTTGCTCACTTTTTGAGACATAAATGTGTTACTATGGAGACAGGCGTTTTCTGATTTCATGATCAAAGACAGGCAATAAATAAATACACCATTTAATGGAATCTAATGATTTCAAAGGTGCCAGACTTACAGACTCTCAGACCACGACTGCCTTTTATTTATTGAAAAAATAAAATAGCAGTAGCAGTGGCTAAAGGCTGATCATGTGACACAGAGCTATTGACTAATGGGGACAGCAGAATAAAGCGAGCGAATCTCACTATAAACAAGACTAGTAATTGTAAATCTTGATATTTTACAAAAATAGTGTTTTAAATCTAAGGAACCAACAACCGAAAAATAAACTGCTGACACATTTGATATAAAATTCATATGACCATTTTGAGTGTATGTTTTAAATTATGTCAAATGCATTACTTTAATACTCACCTCATAGGCTTTTACACAAATGCACCAAAGCTCTCTGGAAGTGTTCAGGTAACTCCATAAAAGGAAATACACTCTTATTCTTGCTTTACATTCTATGATAGAATTTCTCTTTCTCCTATTATCCCCACACATATCTGTAGACATACATTCTAATTTGAGTTTAGGAAATCAGATGATTTCTCAAATATTGTTCCTTTATTCCTCAAGCACCAAGGAACACTACAGTTATAACTATTGCTAAGAAGCAAGGGTTTGTTTGCCCCTGTTTATGCTGAGGTTTGTTGGTATTTCATGAAACCTGTGTCACTGTCCCTACTTGAGAAATATGTGAGAAATATTTACATCTTTTATTTTGGACTTTAAATGGCTTTGTCAAGGAACTGCATAAGTCATTGCTTTGGAAACAATGGATACTGGTTTGCCAAGTTAAGGTGAGGTCAGGGGAGTTTAAAACTCCTAAAGAAAGGGCATTTTTTTGTGCTATAGCTAGAGATCAGTAGAAAATTTTACTGTTTTTGTAGGTCAAACTATTTATTTTACAAAAAAAATAAAAAAATAAAAAAGTAATAAACAGATCTCACTTCACTAATCGAAACATCAAGAACCATGTTCAGAAACTCACAGCAATGTAAGACCTTAAACAGACAAACATTAGCATACAGTTTATCAAAAAACTCTTCAGAAAAATTCCTTATTGGTTACTACAAGACTAATGTTCAAGTGTGGTACAATACATATCTAATAATCTGTACAATAATGGGAGAAAAATTCTGTGGGTGGTACTATTTCCTAGCAATCATAACTGCAATACAGTCGGAGAACTCTATGTAAAGGTAGCTCAACATCTATTGGAAAAGTGATAGGTAAATTTTATCAGTCATCTGGTAGGGTCCTAATACACCAAGGAAATTTTATATCAACTATATTGGAAGCTTTAAAATTCAGCAATGGTTCATGTTCAACAATTTTTAGATCATTTGCACATTAAGGCATCTTTATGGAGAATATTAACTCTAAGAAAATATTTCTACAGTAAGTTTTATATACAACTGGATATGCTTCATTTGATATTGTTGTATCACTGTTCTCCTCCCAGAAGCCTAGAAAATTTTATAGCTAGTGTGTCAATAATACAACAAACCAATACTCCAATAAAATGAATTGATAGCAGATGCTTACCCTCTCATTTTCAGTGAGCCTAAGTCTATAGCCAATTTGGCCCTTGTAGTAAAAACAGAATAGTTTCAAACATCTGAAATTAATCCAGTGTTCAATCTTAATATCTGAGCTGGCCCGTTGATAACCCTGAAATAATGTTAGCTATTACAACACAGAATGTAAAGTCTGGTAGAGTCTTCACTCAATTTTCCACTTGAATTTTTATGATGTGGTGACTTAACCATGTAGAGCTTCTCTGAAGGTTCATGGATATCCTGGACTTTCTTAGGAAATTGTATATTGCCATCTTCCAAAATTTCTTTGAGCTTATAGAATATAACTTGGAAATCCAAATGTATATTTTAACTGAATTATGTAAAAGAGACAGTTGCTCTGTTTTGATGATTTTAGAAAGTGTGGTGTGTGTGTGTGTGTGTGTGTGTGTGTGTGTGTGTGTGGTGTATACATGTATGTGTGCAGGTGGAATCACACATGCCTGTACATGTGGAAGGCAGAGGTTGACTCTGGATGCTTTCCTCTGCTGATCTCCATTAGATTTTTGTTGTTGTTGAGATAGGATGGTCTCTTACTGTGGAGCTCGTAACTAACTGTGGATAGACCCATTGACCATCATGCCCAGGGTATCTGCCTGTCTCCGCCCCCTCTCAGCATGGAGTTGCAGGCATGCAACACTATACTTGGCTTTTGCCTGGATGCTGGGTTGCCAAACTCAGGACCTCAGGCTTCACCAGTTTCATTTAAGCTCCCAGATCTTTGCCATCTTCTCAGCCTCATGAATTTTTAATATTTCATTATATTTTATTGCTCTGTTCATTTTCTAACAGGTGAATTTGGGGAAGTGTGCAGTGGCCGTTTAAAACTTCCTTCCAAAAAAGAGATTTCAGTGGCCATCAAGACCCTGAAAGTAGGCTACACAGAGAAGCAGAGGAGAGACTTCCTGGGAGAAGCGAGCATCATGGGACAGTTTGACCACCCTAACATCATCCGACTGGAGGGAGTTGTTACTAAAAGTAAGATCGCAAGACCTGCTTTTGTTTACTTTGTGCATATACTGCATCAACTCAAAGTCATTGAAGGATTTTGATATCACAAGTAGCCTGGGTCTAAGTAAATTCTGTTGATGATGAACATACTATTTTTTTTCTGGCAATATATAAATGCAAATGCTGTTCTCCATTACAGAAACGTTTGTTCTGTCTTTAGTCAGTTGATTAAGAGATTACCTTGAAGGGAATTGATGAGGACAATCTTGTTTGCAGCGTAGCAGGATAAACAATGGCTGGGTTTTGACAGGAACTCCCACCTTGCTGCCTTTTCTTGCATTATTCACCAGCTTCATTTGAGCTCTCAGATCTTTGCCCCCTTACCCTCTTCCTGCCCTTAGGAAAATTATAAGAATCTTTGGGGTGTTCTAAGACATAAGATTGGACCTCACAGAAGACTTATGGATTCTCTTTGCTTCTCAGTGGATTTCAGGTAGTTCTGATGTAGGCTCCCAGGTGCATTCCTGGCTGTGCTGGGGAACCTCTGGCTCAGAGCCATCGCAGAGGCCTGGATTTATATCCATGATGGTTTCTTCAGCCAGGCTAAAGAGATCCTATGAGGCAGATCTGTTATTCTTGGCTAAAGTCCCAATGAAAAGCTCTTGAGAATGTGCTGCGAAATTTTTTTTTCTCAAGATTTTGGAGCACAGGGTGAAAATAAGTGAAATTGGCAACAGACTCCATACAGTGAATGGCAACATATGGTAGAAAATTTGGCATCTTTCAGGGGATAATTCATTGGCACCACATTTCCATAATCTATGGTTACCAACAGGCATTACTCATTATATTTTGCACAATGTTATTTTTCCGTAGCATTACATGCAGCCCATTCTAAGTGGCAATGATACCTTCTCGCACTTCAGTATATCTAACAAGGCATTTCCCTCTGCACAAGAGCATTGCATATCAAAGACTATTTTGATTTTCCTTTGAGTTTTCATATGAAATAGATCTAACAACTTAACAACATGTAATAATTTAAACACACACAACATAACTGTGTGAAATCTCATATTTATGTCTTGCCTCTGTACTGTTAACCATCAGGCTATAATAGCAATAATACTGACATATTTGACAGTGAAAAATATTTTTTCTTTTTACAATTAATTAAAACATTGATAATATAAGTAAGAATTATGAAAATAAGTGATTCTATTGTTCCTTTGGGCGAAAAACATAGTGTCAGAGATATACAGGATCACATTACATTGAATTTTCAGTGTCATTTAGATAGTTAATGTCCATCATGACATCTTGATCAATCGGTTGCTCTGTAACTCTGGAACCCAACTGGGAAAGCCAATCCATTTGTAGTAATGCAGCTGTTCTTCTTATTCTGTTTCTAAGGTTACAATGTCTCGTTTCACTTCAGGAAAGGCTTGCTGATTTTTACTTTGTTCTGTGGTATACTCATATTGTCACTACCTCCTGGTGCATTAGAATTGCTCATTTCTCTTTTACATTCTCATGAATAGCCATACAGCATAAGGTTCTTGTCTAGAAATTACTATGGATATTGAGAACAACTTTCTGTTTTTTATTTTAACTCTATCCCCAAATATGGACAAAAAAAAAGGTTTCATGTTTTAATTTTCTTCTTTTATCATGGGTTTATTATGTGTGTATGTATGTCTTGTATGTGTATGTCTGTATTAGGACATATGTGTATCATAGCACATGTGTGGAGATCAAAGACAAGCAAAGATGCCACTTCCCATCTTCCACCATGTGGCTCCTGCAGATCTAACTCAGATCGTCCAATTTGGCAACAAATGCATTTACCTGATGAGACAGCTCACCAACCCAAGTTTCCATGTTATGTTCTCATATTGCACTATCTTACTTTTTGATTTTTGAAAACCTTCCCTAACATTTTGAACATAGAAAATCATCTTTTCAGGTTTCTAAAAACTTTTTGCCTTAATACGTTAATGATAAATACTAAAACAAGGTGCTGGGGAGATTATCTAGTTGTTGGGAGCTCGGGCTGTGCAAGCATGGAGAACTGACTTCAAATAGTGGGGGCTCATGGCCACATGTTTCTCAGAATCTAGTACTAAAAGGGACAGAGACACGTGGATTACTGATTGCTAGGCATAAAATGGGGACATCAGAGTTAATGAGGAGCCCTGTCTCAGGAGAGTGAAACAGAGAACAACAGACAGTTCCTCACATCCTCCACTGGCTTCAGCTCACTTGTGCACAGTTCCATTTACCGCACTCAAAAACTAAACACATTGTCTCCATGCATCATCCCTTGAGTTTTTGATCTTAGCCATTCTGATGGGTGTGAGACAAAAATCTCAGGGTTGTTTCGATTTGCACTTCCCGAATGACTAAAGATGTTGAGTATTTCTTTAAGTGTTTCTCTGCCATTCAATATTCCTCTGTTGAGAATTACCTGTTTAGCTCTGTACCCCATTTTTTAATTGGATTGCTTGGTTTGTTGGTGTTTAACTTCTTTAGTTTTTTAATATATTCTGGATGTGGATATTAACCATATAACATAGGATAAACATATTAATCTATAGTCCTAAGGAAGCTAAACAACAAGGAGGACGATAGAGAAGAAGCTGAATCCTCGCTCAGAAGGGTAAACAGGATAGACATCAGAAGTAGGGGAAGAAAGAACAGGACAGGAGCCTTCCACAGAGGACTTCTGAAAGACTCTACCCACCAGGATATAGAAGGAGATACTTAGGCTCATAGTCAAACTTTAGGCAGAGTACCGGAATCTTTATGGAAGAAGAGGGAGATAGAAAGGCATGGAGGAGACAGGAACTGCACAAGGAGAAAAACAGAGCCAAAATACCTGAGCCCAGGGTGGCCTGCAGAGACCTATACTCCAATCAAGTACCATGCATGAAGAGGAGTGGATCTAGAGCCCTGTCCAAAGGAAGCCCACTTGGTGCTCAGTTTCCATGTGGATTCCCTAGTAAGGGGAACAGGGCCTGTGTCTGACAGGAACTCAGTGGCTGACATTTTGATCACCCCCATGGTGGCAGCCTTCTTAAGCCACCGAGGAAGATGTTGCAGCCAGTCCTGATGAGACCTGATAGGCTAGGGTCAGAGGGAAGGGAAGGAGGACCTCCCTTATCAGAGGACTGGGGAAAGAACATAGGGGGAGAAGAGGGAGAAGGGAGGGCAGATGAACCTGGGGTGAGATGAAGGAGAGGGCTGCGGAGGGGATACAAAGTGAAGAAATTGTAATGAATAAATACATAAATAAAATTAAATTAAAAAATCTAAACACATTAAAAAAAGAAACACCTCAAGCAAGATAAAATTCCTGAGAGATATCAGAGATATAGGTAAATTTATCCTTGGATCAAAATAGATACTTATTTTCCTAGTATGTCGAGTAAAAGTGAATGGAGAAATTCTTTCTCTCTGTATATATACATATGCACATACACACACTCACACACACATATGCATGTGAAATAATCAATAAAGGAGGCCACAAATTTGAAAAAGAGCAAGGAATGATTAAAGGGAGAAAATGAAGTAATTATAATATATCAAAAAATTAATAGTAATATGAAAAGCACAGAACAATAACCAATAAAGAGACAAAGGAAGGGGCATAAAGTAAAGAAAGGGAGTTGGAAGAGGAGGGGGAGCAATATTTACTGGTAAGAGGCTTCGGTTTTGTTGAGTTGTGGGTGCTTTTCACAGAAGCTCAATTACGTAACTGATTGCTTCAATCAGAGCGTGATAGAGAAAATGATTTTAGTCTGGATAGGATCATCACTAATTTTCCAGCACGTACATGTAAGAGGGAGTGGTAAAGGGCACCATCAAATAAAAGTCTAGGTTTGGACTGATGCTTAGTGATGGGCTCTATTATACCTTTCACCAGTTGTGGTTTTCTGTGATTCTAGTAGTATGAGTTAGTAGGAGCAATCTGTCTGCTGAGCCATAAGACCCTATTTACTGCATTTAAAGCAACATAAGACAGTAAAAATCATAGGAAATCCCTTTACATCTAACAATAAATAAGAATAGTTTGAATTACAATAGCCCAAAATAACAACAGCAAAATATTTAAAACAATCTCCAAAGCAAAAACGCAGTAAAATATATATACTAAGACAAACTGGGTGGTAAAATTTGCATGTAGGATATGTTGAACATCTTATTCAGATTTGATTCTGGAACATTTTAGTGTCAATTACAACTACGTCCATGGGGTAAAAGTTCTAAATGTGCTGTATCTCTCTGGTCAAATAAGAACATGAGCAGCTGCCAAGCCCACTCTATAAACAGCCATCACATGCACTGTAAGCGGAGCAGAATAGTGTGCTGTGAATTCGATTGTGAGCTCCTTGGTGGCACGTTTAAAAGCTCTAAGTCTGGCACCCCACAAAGGCAGATGGAGACGCAAACTTTTTAGTATCAGTGTATTTCATTTAGAGCAAAATACAGCTAATCTGCCCCTAAAAGTTATTCTCCATTTTTTTAAAATTTTGTCAGATATTTATTTAGATTCTTAAGTTTATTTCAAAGCAACTAAAAATTTGAAGGAAATTGTAAGAACGGGTCATTTACTAAAACTCGTTAACATCTAAAGCAGTCTAGTGACCAAGTCCAGAGATGCATGCGCACTCACAAGCAGAGTGAAATGGAACTTGATTTTCGTGAACAAAACGGTATTTACCGAGAAAAAACACGTCCAATTGTGTTTTGATTACGGACTCAGTGGATCTGAAATCGAATTCCAAGTCAGCCTTAGTTAGTGTAAGACCTGCACATCAAACTGCTACAGGTACTTCTTCATGTGGAACAGAGAATTAACAGTGGTCTTTAGACACTGTGGTATTTTCAGGCACTTTAAATATCAGATAGGATTAGACAAGACTCAATTGTTCCACTTCTGACTAAGCAACACTTAATGAGTCAACAAAAGAAAATTCTGGAAAATAATTCCTTGTTTTAATTTATTTTTTCTTTTTGCTTAA